AGCACTAGACGGCCACGCCCAAGAAGACATTCTTAGCCATATTGGCAGAACATATTGGCAGAACTAATTTATTAGGTACTGTACATGAGCTATTGGTTTGGAGGATTAGGGGTTAGGGTAGCCATTTCATTTAAACATTGGAGCAGCTCGTCAATGTCAATTTGGGGTTTTCAACCAATTAAAACAGGCAGAATTCAAAAAAAGAGGGGGGACTGATGTTTTTATTTTCAGGCAAGATGGCAGTTGTTTATGTGGTGAAGAAAACAATACATTTAAATAAATATTCATGTTTTCCGAACGATACAAACAGTTTTGAAATGTGTTTAATGATCTAAAAGCCAGCGAAACAGAGATCTGGAAAGTTTAGTTGGGTGCTGTCGTAACATAAAAGCAAACTGCCGACGTCGAACACTTATCTTCAGTTGTGAAAGTGAAGACGGCAAACATTTTAGTCAGAGTTGCTAAGTAGCCTACCTCGGCCATCAGTTTCTCTAGTGTGTTTCTGATATCTAAAAGATAACCATATTTCTTAGCTCCTCACCAGACGATGAGTGATGATTGACTGAGCGTCAGAACTGAAGAGCACTGCTCACACCGACCGAAAGGGGGAGACAGAGTATCATAATCAGACAGACCCTGGAGACAGACAGCGAGGAGATCCATCACCTCAACCCCCAAGCACGCACGCACACACAGTGACTGTTATTTTTCATTAGTACTTTAATTCCAAAAATCATAGGCTATAATCTACAAAATACAAACTAATAAATGTACAACCGCACAGAGCTGGGTTCTACAATCTCACTTCCATTCCTTGAGATTGTGTGTGTGTGTTTGTACAAGTGGTGGTTCTCAATACCACTCTTGATAATGGCCTATCACATAGTCAAACAAAGAACTGAAACACACGCTCACACACAATCTCACAGTAGTATTTATGAATGAATCCTCTCTCATTCACACAGAAACATTATTTTTGTCTGTTAATAAATCAGTCACTCATTCACAATGACTAGTCTCCCAAACACACAGTACCTTGCTGCCCCCTGGAGGCCACAGAAGAGAAGGCACCCTGACTCACTGGAACACTGTGGCCAAAATATACCTTATTACCTAAAGATAACTGCCAAAAGTTACCTGTAGGTTTGTTTGTGTGTGTGTGGGTCTTAGGTGAGTGTGCTTATGTGTGTGTTTGAGTGCACCTGTGTGTGTGTGTGTTTAATAAAGTGCCTTAAAACACAACAGTTTCATCCAGGTCCCAGTAAACAGTATCTCTCTCTAACTCACGGTATCTCTAAATTATCTCTTATAGGACCCTATGGTTCCTGGTCAAAGGTAGTGCACACGCTATTCATTATATTTCTCTTATCTCTGTCCAGTTATATCTCGAGGTCACATTGCCCTTGGGGGGGATTTCTACTGTTGTCCCTAACCACAGATCTAGGATCAGATCACCTAACCCCAATAATAACTTTACCTGTTAGGGGGATACAACTAATGTCTGACCCGGAATCAGTGCCTAGGGGCAACTTCTTCTGTTTAGTACCTCTGTCTGTAAGCATGTGATGTCTTTATAGCCGTGGTGTTATGGTGTTATAACCTGTTATGTAGCATCCCTTATAGACAGGACTAGGACCCAGATGTCACCCAATGCTACTCCCAAACGTCTCTGTGAGCTGTTGATGTCAGATTCATAAGATTCTATAGTTATAGCACTGATCTCCTGTTACAGTTATAAGCATCCCTTATGAACAGGAATAGCACTGAGCTGATACAGTACATTACCATTTTAGTCATTTAGTGCCGCTCTTATCCAGAGCAACGAGGGTTAAGTGCCTTCCTTGCTCGAGGGCGCAACAACAGATGTATCACCTAATCGGCTCAGGGATTCGAAAGGGCAACCTTCCGGTTACTGGCCCAACGCTCTTAACTGCTAGGCTACCTGCCGCTGTTACAGTGTTATGAACAGGAATAGGACCCTTTGTCACTGTCACCCCCAATGTACAGAATCGGAGTTGGTAGAGGTGTTCCAGTTAGAATGTTGTAGTGATCTACAGTCATACCAGTAATCCATACTACTACAACTAGTACACTGCTAGTTATACATACTACTATAACTAGTACACTGCTAGTAATCCATACTACTACAACTAGTACACTGCTAGTCATACATAGGGACTGGTGTGGAAAGGAACTGATATGGGTGATACACACTGTACATACAGACATACATACATGATGGTAGAAGGCTTCAGTATAAGCACATTAACACTGTCTAGGGAGTGGTCTCAGATGACACTATATTCCCTATGTAGCACATTACTTCTGACCAGAGCTACATGTTAAGTGCACTACAGATTATGGGTAATAAGTCATAGGCACTACATAGGGAATAGTGTACGATTTGAGGCGCAGCCCCCCCATTTGAGAATGGCACTGTTGATGACGACAGTCGCATGAAGATGATGTCACAGCAGGGTTTGACTGGCGTTGCTATGACAACTCTTCCTGTGGACAAGGCGGTGATGGTGCAGGTGTAGGCAGTTCCTTCGTAGTCTTTTCCACTGGTGATTGGTTGATTTCCAGAGCACGTGAAAGAGGGCCGGGTGGGATAGCAGAGTGGACAGTCCATCACTACATCCACCTCTCTGTGTGATTGGACAGCGCAGGGCAATGGGGGATGTGGCACCGTGGCAGTGACAGGGGATTGGTTGACCTTGGCAGGGGACGGGGGGGGGACGGGGGGTTAGAGGGTAAAGGTCGTAGGTCACAGAGCGTGCTCAGGAGATGACGATGATGCCGAAGTTGTTCTTGAGCTGCTCTAGGAAGATGAAGGTGAGCACCGTGTGAGGGATCAGACGGATCCCTGCAGGAACAAGACCCTGCAACGCCATTGGACAGTTAGTTAGCATTCTGACACGTGATTGGACAGTTGGTTAAAACCTTGCAATGCCATTGGGCACTTAGTCAAGACCCTGACACTGGATTGGACAGTTGGTCTACATGCTGACATTTGATTGGACAGTAGGTTAAGACTAGGGGTGTAACGATTCGTTTTAACAACGATTCGATTTGTATCACGATTTGTGGTTGTCGATACGATTCAAGGACGATATTGGTTCATTTAGAACGATACAATCCGAAACGATTCAGTGACTTGAAATCGATTCAGTAACCTTTTAGCCAAAAATTCAACCAGTGTGACTGAAATAAATACCTGGATACTGGACAGTGCAGGTGAAGTTTCCTAGATTCCTGTTTCTTGTAAGGACCGCAATGGTGGCTTGATAATTTCTCGCTCGTCGGCTTCTCCTCTATGTTTTGTTGTCTTTGCGCCTTTGCGCTGCTGTTGGCGCGATGACGTCACGGATAGGCAGACTGAATCGAGTAATGTTTAAAGCCTTTATCATTAAAAGTGCTAAGAAAAAACATCCATATAAAGTCTGACGTGCTTAAATCCAATGGGTTATTTCCTAGTATCGATACAATCGATTTATTACATTTTAAAACGATGTTAGATCGATATATGTTGTCCAAAAGGCCAACTCGCCGAGCACAGATCGATGTAGTTGGATCATAGGAATATAAATCGATACATTGATGTAGTAGATGGATCGTTACACCCCTAGTTAAGACCTTATAATGCAAGTGGACAGTTCATTAACTTTCTTGCAACTGCATTGGACATTAAGTCAAGTCCCTTACCCAGGCTTCACCTTAGACATGGATACGTTAAGGTAAGACCTTTACCCAGGCTTCACCTTAGACATGGATACGTTAAGGTAAGACCTTTACCCAGGCTTCACCTTAGACATGGATACGTTAAGGTAAGACCTTTACCCAGGCTTCACCTTAGACATGGATACGTTAAGGTAAGACCTTTACCCAGGCTTCACCTTAGACATGGATACGTTAAGGTAAGACCTTTACCCAGGCTTCACCTTAGACATGGATACTTTAAGGTAAGGGCCCTACCCAGGCTTCACCTTAGACATGGATACGTTAAGGTAAGACCTTTACCCAGGCTTCACCTAGACATGGATAGTTAAGGTAAGACCCTTACCCAGGCTTCCTTAGACATGGATACGTTAAGGTAAGACCCTTACCCAGGCTTCACCTTAGACATGGATACGTTAAGGTAAGACCTTTACCCAGGCTTCACCTTAGACATGGATACGTTAAGGTAAGACCTTTACCCAGGCTTCACCTTAGACATGGATACGTTAAGGTAAGACCTTTACCCAGGCTTCACCTTAGACATGGATACGTTTAAAGGTAAGTCCCTTACCCAGGCTTCACCTTAGACATGGATACGTTAAGGTAAGACCTTTACCCAGGCTTCACCTTAGACATGGATACGTTAAGGTAAGACCCTTACCCAGGCTTCACCTTAGACATGGATACGTTAAGGTAAGTCCCTTACCCAGGCTTCACCTTAGACATGGATACGTTAAGGTAAGACCTTTACCCAGGCTTCACCTTAGACATGGATACGTTAAGGTAAGACCTTTACCCAGGCTTCACCTTAGACATGGATACGTTAAGGTAAGACCTTTACCCAGGCTTCACCTTAGACATGGATACGTTAAGGTAAGACCCTTTACCCAGGCTTCACCTTAGACATGGATACGTTAAGGTAAGACCTTTACCCAGGCTTCACCTTAGACATGGATACGTTAAGGTAAGACCTTTACCCAGGCTTCACCTTAGACATGGGGATACGTTTAAGGTAAGACCTTTACCCAGGCTTCACCTTAGATGGATAACGTTAAGGTAAGACCCTTACCCAGGCTTCACTTAGACATGGATACGTTAAGGTAAGACCCTTACCCAGGCTTCACCTTAGACATGGATACGTTAAGGTAAGACCTTTACCCAGGCTTCACCTTAGACATGGATACGTTAAGGTAAGACCCTTTACCCAGGCTTCACACTTAGACATGGATACGTTAAGGTAAGACCCTTACCCAGGCTTCACCTTAGACATGGATACGTTAAGGTAAGACCTTTACCCAGGCTTCACCTTAGACATGGATACGTTTAAGGTAAGACCTTTACCCAGGTTCACCTTAGACATGGATACGTTAAGGTAAGACCTTTACCCAGGCTTCACTTAGACATGGATACGTTAAGGTAAGACCTTTACCCAGGCTTCACCTTAGACATGGATACGTTAAGGTAAGACCCTTACCCAGGCTTCACCTTAGACATGGATACGTTAAGGTAAGACCCTTACCCAGGCTTCACCTTAGACATGGATACGTTAAGGTAAGACCTTTACCCAGGCTTCACCTTAGACATGGATACGTTAAGGTAACCTTACCAGGCTTCACCTTAGACAGGATACGTTTAAGGTAAGACCTTTACCCAGGCTTCACCTTAGACATGGATACGTAAGGTAAGACCTTTACCCAGGCTTACCTTAGACAGGATAACGTTAGTAAACCTTACACAGCTTCACTTGACAGAGATAGTTAAGGTAAGACCTGACCAGGCTTGACTAGAAGAGGATCGTTAGAAAATCTTACCTTGTCAAACAGAGCCCCCAAAGGTTTATTTAGGGTTGGCCTGCTAGGGGACTTCTGGACTTGCAAAGTATGTGTGTTTGAGTGTGTGCGTCTCACCTTGTAGAAGGCCATGGGTCCCTCTTTAGCAGTCACTCTAGACAGTGTATCACACCCTGAAACACACACACACACACAGTTACATACTGAAGGAGAAGAGAGAGAGATGAAGAGAGAGAGCGAGATGGAGAGAGAGAGAGCGAGAGAGACAGGAAATAGACAGAAGCAGTGAGAGAGAGAGAGAGAGAGAAGCATTGAGAGAGAGAGAGAGAGAGTAGCATTGAGAGAGAGAGAGAGAGAGTGAGAAGCATTGAGAGAGAGAGAGAGACAGAGAGAGAGAGACAGAGAGAGAGAGGAAAGAAACCCATATTTATGTTTATTTATTTTCCCTTTTGTACTTTAACTATTTGCACATTGTTACAACACTGTATATATACATAATATGACATTTGAAATGTCTTTATTCTTTTGAAACTTCTGAGTGTAATGTTTACTGTTAATATTTTTTATTTTTTATTTATTGAAGCATTGAGACAGAGACAGAGACAGAGAGAGAGAGAGAGAGAGAGAGAGAGAGAGAGAGAGAGAGAGAGAGATGAAGGAAACGAAGAAGAGAGTGATGGATGGAGGGAGTAGATGACAAAGAGAGGGATGGATAGAGTAACTCACTGAGTATTCTCCTTTAGAGTTCATCAACCTGGTCTTCATCACATCTAGAGGCTGACACAGGAACGTAGCACAGCCTCCCTACAGAGAGAGACACACAGACACACAGACAGACAGACACACAGGCAGACAGACACACAGGCAGACAGACACACACAGACAGGCAGACACAGGCAGACAGAGAAACACACAGGCAGACAGGCAGACAGAGAGAGAGAGAGAGAGACACAGGCAGAGACAGGGAGAGAGAAAGATACATATAATTAGTTTTCTTTGAGTTATTCAATTAACAATCACATTCTTCTGGTTCCTTATCCAACCAGCACTCTGCACTCTATTAACCAATAAGAAGCCAGGTTCCTCACAGCGATGAAGCTGGACAGGAAGTGTGTGAGGATGTTATCTCCCATGAAGCCTGAAGACAGCACCAGCTGTTTAGCCTGGTCATAACATGCCAAGCTACAGAGAGAGGAGGGGGGGAGAGAGCTGGTAAGAGGGTGGGGGGGAGAGAGGGGGGGGGGGGAAGATGGAGAGGAGGGGGGAGATAGGGGGCGAGGAGTTGGGACGAGGAGGGGGGAGGTGGGAGGAAGGGGGGGGGGGCGATGGAGTGGAGAGGAGGGGGCGAGAGAGAGGAGAGGGGGAGAGAGGGGGGAGGGAGTGGGAGAGGAGGAGGGAGAGAGGAGGGGGGGAGAGAGGAGGAGGGGGGAGAGGGAGGGGGAGAGGAGGGGGAGAGAGAGAGGGGGCGAGGAGAGGGGGAGAGGAGGGGGGAGAGAGGAGGAGGGGGGAAAGAGAGGGGGCGAGGGAGTGGGAGAGGAGGGGGGAGAGAGGGGGCGAGGGGGGAGAGAGGAGGGGGGGAGAGAGGGGGCGAGGGAGGAGGAGAGGAGGGAGGGAGAGAGAGAGGAGGATGGGAGGGGGGGAGAGGAGGGGGAGAGAGGAGGGGGGGAGAGAGGGAGGAGAGGAGGGGGGGGGAGAGAGTGGGGGGAGGGAAGTGGGAGGAGGAGGGGGAGAGAGAGAGAGGAGGGGGGAGAGAGGGGGGGGGAGGGGAGGTGAGTAGGAGGAGGGGGAGGAGAGAGCGAGGGTGGGAGAGGGGGCGAGAGGAGTGAGAGAGGAGGGGGGAGAGAGGGGGCGAGGGAGTGAGAGAGGAGTGAGAGAGGAGGGGGGAGAGAGGGGGCGAGGGAGTGAGAGAGGAGGATGGAGAGAGGGGGCGAGGGAGTGAGAGAGATGGAGAGAGAGAGAGAGAGAGAGACCATATTAGAGACACATACTTCCCTCAGATTACACAGATCCACAAAGAATTAGAAAACAAACCCAATTTTGATCAACTCCCATATCTACTGGGTGAAATACCACAGTGTGCCATCACAGCAGCAATATTTGTGACATGTTGCCACAAGAAAAGGGCAACCAGTGAAGAACAAACACCATTGTAAATACAACCCATATTTATGTTTATTTATTTTCCTTTTTGTACTTTAACTATTTGCACATTGTTACAACACTGTATATATACATAATATGACATTTGAAATGTCTTTATTCTTTTGAAACTTCTGAGTGTAATGTTTACTGTTAATATTTATTGTTTATTTCACTTTTGTTTACTATCTACTTCACTTGCTATGGCAATGTTAACATACGTTTCCCATGCCAATAAAGCCCTTAAATTGAATTGAAATTGAATTGAGTGAGAGAGAGGAGGGAGAGATGTGTTATAATTCAAAATACATTCAAAAGACAAATCAGTACATACAAAGAGAACACCTAAAAACAATCAACCAGTGTCAACCAGCAAACAGTGTCTCTCTTCTAATCTATACAAAGTACTGCTATACATAACGCTATTAAACTTAATTTCCCAGGGTGCCGTGCGGTCGTACCTGTCCCACAGTGACCAGAGCTCCTCTGCTGGAGGCCATGGTGGCTCCTGAGAACAACTTCCTCACCCCCTCTACACACAGGTCAGAGGGGAGAGGTCAGGGGTCACACAGAGCACAGAGCAGCAGAATACAAACTGTATCAATTCATTTGAACAAAAGCTTTCTATCGTTCTATTTTTTATCAAATGTATTACATTGGAGCGATAGCGTGCGGCTCCCTCTCTAAACTCAGAACCGGTCTCTTGACATTTCATATTTTTCTACAGAGATAGAGAGTACAACTCACACACATTCCTACCTTCTCTGAAGACCCTGAAGAGACCGTCCACAGCATGTTTGTAGCTGAGAGAGAAAGAGAGAGACACAGACTTAGACATTGTCAGATCAACAACATACCATGTAGTCTAAATGGTCAGGAACACTCACTTCCTCCTCAGCTCTGGAGGTAGTTTAACATCATTCTGCATCCTGAGGGGGAAAACTAGTATTAGTTACAACATTACAATATTCAGACACAATACAACCTACCCATTAAACTAGTATATAATTTAGAACATTACAATAATTATACACCGTTCAACCAAACCATTAAACAAGTATTTTAGTTAGAACATTACAATAATTATACACCGTTCAACCAAACCATTAAACAAGTATTTTAGTTAGAACATTACAATAATTATACTATCATAAATTGCAAAGAGAGCTGTGTGTTTCTCTCACCTGACGTTCACCATGTCTGCAGGAGTGCCGATGAACCCACCAGTAAAACCTAGAAGCATGAGAGAGATTAGTGTGTGTGTGAGCATTACCCTTAGTCTGCGACAGTGTGCATGTGTGTATGCCCCAGTGTGTGTGTGTTCAGCATACATGCGTGTATGCGCAACCCTGTGTGTTTGTGTCCCTACCTCCGAAGGCCCCCAGCAGCACCTTCTGGTAGAAAGGCATGGGGCCCTGATTACTGCTGCTCAACATGTCTCTGACTGTCTCATAGATAGCAAACCTAGTTAGAGAATAGGACATCTAGAGAGAAGGGGAAGAGGAGAGGAGAGGAGAGGAGAGGAGAGGAGAGGAGAGGAGAGGAGAGGAGACACAGACAGACAGACAGACAGACAGACAGACAGACAGACAGACAGACAGACAGACAGACAGACAGACAGACAGACAGACAGACAGAGAAAGACAGAGAGAGACAGCGAGAGAGAGAGAGAGAGAGAGTACTTTAACTATTTGCACATTGTTACAACATTGTATATATACATAATATGACATTTGAAATGTCTTATTCTTTGGAATTTCTGAGTGTAATGTTTACTGTTAATATTTATAGTTTATTTCACTTTTGTTTACTATCTATTTCACTTGCTTTGGCAATGTTAACATACGCTTCCCATGCCAATAAAGCCCTTAAATTGAATTGAATTGAATTGATAGAGAGAGAGAGAGAGAGAGCACGAGAGAGAGACGAGAGGAGGAGATGAGAGAGGAGAGGACGGAGAGAGAGGAGCGAGAGAGAGAGAGAGGAGAGAGAGAGAGAGAGAGAGAGAGAGAGAGGAGAGAGATAGAGAGAGATTGAGAGAGAGAGAGAGAGAATAGTAGAGGGCAGAGGAGAGACACGAGAACAAGAGTAAGAAAAAGCACATCAAATTGAAGAAAGAGTAATGTGTAGCTATCATCCTAAGAACATTCTAGTTGTATGTCATAGCTTCAATCCACCACAAGGTGAAACCCATCTGTCACAAACAGCAAACAGCTCCTCTCCAGAGAGAGAGAGATGTGTCAATAGAGGCATTAACAGGACGTTTCAACACCCCAACCAGTTTCCGTTAGGTACAGATCTAGAATCAGCTTCCCCTCCCTCAATCCTAACCTTAACCAATATTGGGGAAAATGCTAAACTGACCCAAGATCAGTGTCTATGGGCAACTTCACCAGTTTCCTCACTGTGTGTTACTGTGGTAACTGCCTGACATTCTTACCACTGGTCTGTCTTCTTATAGAGAATTCCCTCTGATGCAACACTATCAGAGGGGAAACTAACTTCCACTTCACATGTTCTTAGTCATGCCATTGATGTCAATGGGACATGAAGTGACAATTTGACTGAAGTGGATTCGCCCCTTAGTGCTTGTGCATTGGGTCCAGAGTTGTTCCTGACCAGGGGGGGTAAAGTTCTGTGTCCTAGTTCAAGGCTATACCATGCTTTAGGCTGTAATTAGGGTCCAGAGTTGTTCCTGCTCAGGTCCAGTGTGATTGAGGAAAACCCAGCGCCGTACTTCTGCATCCAGGCCATTGAAACAAACTGTATCCAGGGGAGGCATTGCATGCGTTCCAAATGGTACCCTACTCCCAATATAGGGCACTGCTTTTAACCAGGGCTCATTGGTCAAAAGCAGAGCATGGATTATAACGTTATTTGGGGCAGCAGGTAGCCTAGCGGTTAAGAGCGTTGGGCCAGTAGCAAAAGGTCGCTGGTTCAAATCCCAGAGCTGACTAGGTGAAAAAATCTGCTGATGTGCTCTTGAGCAAAGCACTTAACCCTAATTATTCCTGTCAGTCGCTCTGGATAAGAGCATCTGCTAAATTACTTTAAAAAATACAAAATATAATTTGGAACGCACACATTATGGTCCTAATGTGTATGGGTAAAACATGTCTTTCTGCTAATGCTTGACAGGACAAAAGCCAGAGAGCTAAGTTTAGTGGTTTAAATTGCTGATGGAGAGAAAAGCATACTGGGACAGAATACTGATCCTTCTGCCTGGAACACTCAGGTTCCATCTACCTATCTCTGGGACAGAGTCCATACATCACTAATGGAACTATCATTACAGGATTACACCCCCCCCCCCCATCCTCCTACCTGTCTGCAGAGTGATGCGCTGAGTCCGTTGTACAGAGCCAGAGCTCCATCGTTCTTCACTACCTGCATGGCCATGCTCACCATCCCCATCTTACCCTTCTGCTGGGTCTGCAGGTGGACCTAAACACACACACACACACACACACACACACAATCATTATTTCATCATTATCATCATCATCATTACAAATACGATCAATATACTGCATCTTCATCATCATTACACTCATCATCATCAGTCGGTCATCAGTCTGTGTCTATTTTTGAGTGAGTGTGGAACTGCCTCTCTCCCACAGACAGACAGGTTAGACAGGTTAGACAGATTAGACAAACAGAGACAGACAAACAGGTTAGACAGGTTAGACAAACAGAGACAGACAAACAGACAGACAGACAGGTTAGACAGATTAGACAAACAGAGACAGACAAGCAGACAGACAGACAGACACACAGGTTAGACAAACAGAGACAGACAAACAGACAGACAGACAGACAGGTTAGACAGATTAGACAAACAGAGACAGACAGACATACTAGCGTGACTGACAGATTCATGCTGAGTGTTTATAGCTCAGCTGACCTGGTTGTAACCGTGGCGATCTGAGAGATGGTACACGCTGGAGGAACGGGTGTGTCACTGTGACTTATGGTAGAGATATATCTACACACACACCGCCACACACTGAGGAGCTGTCCTTGAAGTCTATTATAGTTACTGTCTATGGAGATAGTAGTATAATGTAGTAGTTACTGTCTATAGAGATAGCAGTATAATGTATTAGTTACTGTCTATAGAGATAGCAGTATAATGTACTAGTTACTGTCTATAGAGATAGTAGTATAATGTACTAGTTAACGTCTATAGAGATAGCAGTATAATGTAGTAGTTAACGTCTATAGAGATAGCAGTATAATGTAGTAGTTACTGTCTATAGAGATAGCAGTATAATGTACTAGTTACTGTCTATAGAGATAGAAGTATAATGTACTAGTTACTGTCTATAGAGATAGCAGTATAATGTAGTAGTTACTGTCTATAGAGATAGTAGTATAATGTAGTAGTTACTGTCTATAGAGATAGTAGTATAATGTAGTAGTTACTGTCTATAGAGATAGTAGTATAATGTAGTAGTTACTGTCTATAGAGATAGTAGTATAATGTACTAGTTACTGTCTATAGAGATAGTAGTATGTAGTAGTTACTGTCTATAGATATAGTAGTATAATGTACTAGTTACTGTCTATAGAGATAGTAGTATAATGTACTAGTTACTGTCTATAGAGATAGCAGTATAATGTACTAGTTACTGTCTATAGAGATAGTAGTATAATGTAGTAGTTAACGTCTATAGAGATAGCAGTATAATGTAGTAGTTAACGTCTATAGAGATAGCAGTATAATGTAGTAGTTACTGTCTATAGAGATAGCAGTATAATGTACTAGTTACTGTCTATAGAGATAGTAGTATAATGTACAGTGAGGGAAAAAAGTATTTGATCCCTTGCTGATTTTGTACGTTTGCCCACTGACAAAGAAATGATCAGTCTATAATTTTAATGGTAGGTTTATTTGAACAGTGAGAGACAGAATAACAACAAAAAAATCCAGAAAAACGCATGTCAAAAATGTTATAAATTGATTTGCATTTTAATGAGGGAAATAAGTATTTGACCCCCTCTCAATCCGAAAGATTTCTGGCTCCCAGGTGTCTTTTATACAGGTAACGAGGTGAGATTAGGAGCACACTCTTAAAGGGAGTGCTCCTAATCTCAGTTTGTTACCTGTATAAAAGACACTTGTCCACAGAAGCAATCAATCAATCAGATTCCAAACTCTCCACCATGGCCAAGACCAAAGAGCTCTCCAAGGATGTCAGGGACAAGATTGTAGACCTACACAAGGCTGGAATGGGCTACAAGACCATCGCCAAGCAGCTTGGTGAGAAGGTGACAACAGTTGGTGCGATTACTCGCAAATGGAAGAAACACAAAAGAACTGTCAATCTCCCTCGACCTGGGGCACCATGCAAGATCTCACCTCGTGGAGTTGCAATGATCATGAGAACGGTGAGGAATCAGCCCAGAACTACACGGGAGGATCTTGTCAATGATCTCAAGGCAGCTGGAACCATAGTTACCAAGAAAACAATTGGCAACACACTACGCCGTGAAGGACTGAAATCCTGCAGCGCCCACAAGGTCCCCCTGCTCAAGAAAGCACATATACAGGCCCGTCTGAAGTTTGCCAATGAACATCTGAATGATTCAGAGGAGAACTGGGTGAAAGTGTTGTGGTCAGATGAGACCAAAATCGAGCTCTTTGGCATCAACTCAACTCGCCGTGTTTGGAGGAGGAGGAATGCTGCCTATGACCCCAAGAACACCATCCCCACCGTCAAACATGGAGGTGGAAACATTATGCTTTGGGGGTGTTTTTCTGCTAAGGGGACAGGACAACTTCACCGCATCAAAGGGACGATGGACGGGGCCATGTACCGTCAAATCTTGGGTGAGAACCTCCTTCCCTCAGCCAGGGCATTGAAAATGGGTCGTGGATGGGTATTCCAGCATGACAATGACCCAAAACACACGGCCAAGGCAACAAAGGAGTGGCTCAAGAAGAAGCACATTAAGGTCCTGGAGTGGCCTAGCCAGTCTCCAGACCTTAATCCCATAGAAAATCTGTGGAGGGAGCTGAAGGTTCGAGTTGCCAAATGTCAGCCTCGAAACCTTAATGACTTGGAGAAGATCTGCAAAGAGGAGTGGGACAAAATCCCTCCTGAGATGTGTGCAAACCTGGTGGCCAACTACAAGAAACGTCTGACCTCTGTGATTGCCAACAAGGGTTTTGCCACCAAGTACTAAGTCATGTTTTGCAGAGGGGTCAAATACTTATTTCCCTCATTAAAATGCAAATCAATTTCTAAAATTTCTGACATGTGTTTTTCTGGATTTTGTTGTTGTTATTCTGTCTCTCACTGTTCAAATAAACCTACCATTAAAATTATAGACTGATCATGTCTTTGTCAGTGGGCAAACGTACAAAATCAGCAGGGGATCAAATACTTTTTTCCCTCACTGTAGTAGTTAACGTCTATAGAGATAGCAGTATAATGTAGTAGTTAACGTCTATAGAGATAGCAGTATAATGTAGTAGTTACTGTCTATAGAGATAGCAGTATAATGTACTAGTTACTGTCTATAGAGATAGCAGTATAATGTAGTAGTTACTGTCTATAGAGATAGCAGTATAATGTACTAGTTACTGTCTATAGAGATAGCAGTATAATGTAGTAGTTACTGTCTATAGAGATAGCAGTATAATGTACTAGTTACTGTCTATAGAGATAGTAGTATAATGTAGTAGTTGGGAGTCAGTGGAGAGAGCTGTAGATATGGTTGTGATAGTTGTAATGGTAGCAGTAGTTGGAATATCACAACTACTGACGTTCTCGTGTGTGTATGTACAGGTGTTTTAATGTTGTGTGTGTACGGGGAATAGTTTTTTTTAAGGTAATTCTCTGACCTCCTTTGAACTCTCGCTCTCTCTTTTCCAACTGGGCTCTGCTCCAAGTGTGGCCTCCCTCCGGCCAATCACGCCTCTCGCTCCCACCGGCTTATCAGTACTGTTTGAGTTCAAAGGCCACCAAGGCCTTCAACCATGGAACACAAACAATCTCTCTTTCTCGCTCTGTCGCTTTCTCTCTCTCCCTTGCTCTCGCTCTCAGTCCATCTCTCTCTCTCTTCTCTTCCATTCTCTTTCCTTCTTCCCTCAATCATCCACTCCCTCTGTCTCACTGTAAATAACTGGCTTTCTCCTATATTTCTTCTCCCTCTTCCCTCTCTGTCTCTCCCTCTCTCCTTTCTTTATCACCCTCTCCATGTTTCCCTCTCACCCTGTTGTGACTAGATAATCATTCACACCCTGAGTGCAGATACAGATAGCTGGTTGCTGCAGGACCTGGCTGGCACTCAATAAGCACTCCAGTCAGGACACAGTGCAATGAGTATCTTCTCTAATGACTATCTTCTCTAATGACACTGAAAGCCAAAAATTCAGCATGTAACCTCTAACCTCCAGCTCCTCCTGAGTCACATCACCAACACACTGTCCCATTGTTCCAGTGATGTTACAGAGTTTCTAGAGAAATACTGATAGAAGACAATGCCATAACTTAGATGTAGGTGCTAGGTTGTTTAGTTAAACAAACACACCCATTAATGTGCACGTACACACACATGCCGACACACACACACACACTAGTGAGATCCAGACCATCTCCCTCCCCTCAGGTAGCAGAGAGAGAGGTAGGGCGTTACTAGGGCAACTGACTTCATGCCAGACAACAGGCATAGCAACAACAAGTATGAACCAGGTCAGAGAGGAGAGGCACGGCTTCAGGAGAACAAACTGTTGCTGATTCTTTTTCAACGTTCTGACAAAGTGGTCGAGCTTCTGATGGGCCTTCTGCAGTGCACACACACACAGCCTACAGTTCTTCATCATTCTCGCCACCGTCAGAGAGACGACAGGGAAGGAACCACCATTTACCTACCTCTAGGCTGCTATACATAGAATGACAAACCAAATAAAGAGCCTATCGTTTTTCATGGAATTTTTTGTGGTAATTAAATATTATTTATTTAGAATTGATTTTCCAGAAATAATTGTATGAGGTCTGTGTATTCTCAAATTGAAAAAAAGTGAGGGAGCGCCGCTCCCCTGCACTCCGGCAGCACTACAGCCCGGGACGCTAAGCTAGTCATGGCTAGCTTCAGGAGAAGAGGGGACGGCAGCACTACAGCCCGGGACGCTAAGCTAGTCATGGCTAGCTTCAGGAGAAGAGGGGACGGCAGCACTACAGCCCGGGACGCTAAGCTAGTCATGGCTAGCTTCAGGAGAAGAGGGGACGGCAGCACTACAGCCCGGGACGCTAAGCTAGTCATGGCTAGCTTCAGGAGAAGAGGGGACGGCAGCACTACACCCGGGACGCTAAGCTAGTCATGGCTAGCTTCAGGAGAAGAGGGGACGGCAGCACTACAAGCCCGGGACGCTAAGCTAGTCATGGCTAGCTTCAGGAGAAGAGGGGACGGCAGCACTACAGCCCGGGACGCTAAGCTAGTCATGGCTAGCTTCAGGAGAAGAGGGGACGGCAGCACTACAGCCCGGGACGCTAAGCTAGTCATGGCTAGCTTCAGGAGAAGAGGGGACGGCAGCACTACAGCCCGGGACGCTAAGCTAGTCATGGCTAGCTTCAGGAGAAGAGGGGACGGCAGCACTACAGCCCGGGACGCTAAGCTAGTCATGGCTAGCTTCAGGAGAAGATGGGGACGGCAGCACTACAGCCCGGGACGCTAAGCTAGTCATGGCTAGATTCAGGAGAAGAAGGGGACGGCAGCATCTACAGCCCAGGGACGCTAAGCTAGTCATGGCTAGCTTAAGTGAGAAGAGGGGACGGGCCAGACGGCCAGCACTACAGCCCCGGGACGCTAAGCTAGTCATGGCTAAGCTTCAGGAGAAGAGGGGAAGGCAGCACACTACAGCCCGGGAACGCTTAAGCTAGTCATGGCTAGCTTCAGGGGGGGCAACTACAGCAGGGGCAAAGCTAGTCAGGCTGCTTCAGGAGAAGAAGGGACGGAACCTACAGCCCGGGACGCTATAAGCTAGTCATGGCTAGCTCTCAGGGAGAAGAGGGGACGGCAGCACTACAAACCGGGACGCTAAGCTAGTCATGGCCTAGCTTCCAGGAGAAAGAGGGGGACGGCAGCCACTACAACCCGGGGACGCTAAGCTAGTCATGGCTAGCTTCAGGAGGAAGAAGGGGCCCGGCAAGCACATACAGCCCGGGACGCGTATAGCTAGTCATGGCTAGCTTCAGGCGAAGAGGGGACGGCAGCACTACAGCCCGGGACGCTAAGCTAGTCATGGCTAGCTTCAGGAGAAGAGGGGACGGCAGCACTACAACCCGGGACGCTAAGCTAGTCATGGCTAGCTTCAGGAGAAGAGGAGAAGGCAGGCTAGAGTCATATACACTGAGTGGACAAAACATTAAGAACTCTTTCCATGACATAGACTGACCAGGTGAATCCAGGTGAAAGCTATGATCCCTTATTGATGTCACTTGTTAAATCCACTTCAAATCAGTGTAGATGAAGGGGAGGAGACAGGTTAAAGAAGGATTTTTAAGCCTTGAGACAATCGAGACATGGATTGTGTATGTGTGCCATTCAGAATGGGCAAGACAAAAGATTAGTGCCTTTGAATGGGGTATGGTAGTAGATGTCAGTTTGTGTCCAATGTTTTGTACACTCTGTGTGGTCAATTTCTGTCTGAACTTTACTTGTCTGAGCTCCACTTTCTCCTCCACAGCTGTTGATAAGTGATACTTTACACTTTCGCATTGTGCTGTTTATTTCAGATAGGTTTTTTAAACTATGAAGATGTACAGTGTTGATACCACATTATCTCGAATGCTAATCAATAAAAACATCTGTAAAAATCACTGCTCTATTTTGCTTGTTCACAGGCAGGTCATTCCCTAGAACGTCAGGGGTGCTTCTGCTATGCTACATGACCAACAGTTTGAGAATAAAGGTGCTAACATGGCGTAACAAGCCTGACCCAACTCTCTTACATAGATGCCTGGCATGGCTACTTCCAGGGACAAGCTCATCCCATCTTGTTTGTCTTGTTCTGGCAGGTTTGTCGTCGTCATCTCTCACTACACACAGTATAGAGCAGGATGGATGGTCCACCATCAATTGTTGACTTCGAGATGGACCATGCCCAGCTCGTACTACTTTTATGGTCATACTGTCTGACTTACTTACTACTCCACTTTCTCTACTCCACACTATAATATACTTACACTTACTGCTACTAATAACTATACCGATTACAGTACTACCACATTACTCGAACTACCATCATAAACTCTGAATCACGCTCTATTGCTTCACCAGTCATTTCATAACTGTCATGCCCATTGCTACATACACAGCTAATAAGGCTACACTGCTAACAACCTACACAACTCTCTACTACGATGCTCCTGCTAGCTCAGACATCGTCACCACTACTGTGCTACTGACCAGTTGTCTACACTCACTACTACTCACACACACGTATAGCGATATACCCATCTACTCTTGACTCGAATGACCCTGCTACTACATGCTCAATGACACAGTAGACAGCTACTACTACTCTGCTACTACACTACCTACTGCTACTACTACCTACTACTATACTACTGCTACTGCTACTAACACTACTACTACACTACTACTACATCACTACTACTGCTACTACCACTACTACTACTACTACTACTACTGCTACTACCTACTTACTCTACTACTACTTACTACTACTACTGCTACTACTACCAACTACTACTCTACTGTGTACTACTACTCACTACTACTACTCACTACTACACTGCTACTACTACTACCACTACTGCTACTACTACTACTACTACTGCTACTACTACTACTATACACTACTACTGCTACGACTACTACTACTACTACACTACTACTACACTACCTACTACTACACTACTACTACTACTACACTACTACTACTACTACTACTACCTACTAACCACTACTACACTACTTTACTCACTACTACTACTCTACTAACTACCAGCACTACACTACTACCTACTCTACTACTACTACTACTACGCTACTACTACTACTCTACTACTACTACTACTACTACGACACTACTAACGCTACATACTACCACTACTACCTACTAACACTCTGTATTACCACTAGCACCCACACCGCACCGTGCGCGGAGTTAGCCGGTCAGTGACTTAACGAGGCCGATCACTGCTACCCTGTGTTCCAAATGGCACCCTATCCCCTATATAGTACCCATAGGGCTCTGGGCAAAAGTAGTGCACTATGTAGTTAATAGTAGTTTCAATCTGACATAAAACGTAAAAGTATATGTAGGTAATAGTATATGTAGGTAATTACATTTACATTTTTACATTTTAGTCATTTAGCAGACGCTCTTATCCAGAGCGACTTACAGTTAGTGAGTGCATACATTTTTCATATACATAGTATATGTAGGTAATAGTAGTTTCAATCTGACATAAAACATGCTTACCGGTTCACAGACAATACCTTCACTGACCTGTACTGTACTATGCTGTCAGTATCAATTATGCTATATGTGTATGTGTGGGATGTGTGTAATGTGTGCATGCACTGTATGTGTGTGTGTCTCTCCCACAAAGTAATTATACACATTTAGACTTCTAAGTAAGCGAGTTGAGACAGGCTGTCTAGACTACACTATCAACTCCCCACACACCTCTGTCCAACACTAGCTCCGCCCAGTACCCTATCACCTCTGTCCAACACTAGCTCCTCCCACTACCCTATCACCTCTGTCCAACACTAGCTCCGCCCACTACCCTATCACCTCTGTCCAACACTAGCGCCGCCCACTTACCCTATCACCTCTGTCCAACACTAGCTCCTCCCACTTACCCTATCACCTCTGTCCACACTAGCTCCGCCCACTACCCTATCACCTCTGTCCAACACTAGCTCCGCCCAGTACCCTATCACCTCTGTCCAACACTAGCTCCGCCCAGTACCCTATCACCTCTGTCCAACACTAGCTCCGCCCAGTACCCTATCACCTCTGTCCAACACTAGCTCCGCCCAGTACCCTATCACCTCTGTCCAACACTAGCTCCGCCCAGTACCCTATCACCTCTGTCCAACACAGGCTCCGCCCACTACCCTATCACCTCTGTCCAACACAGGCTCACCTCTCCGATACAGATACAGTGATCGAGGGGAAAGCATCTGGAGCAGGGTTCGAACCAGCAACCCTGCAGTTACGGGCCTGCCTCTTGCACTACCACCTGTGCCATACATTTTACATTTACGTCATTTAGCAGACGCTCTTATCCAGAGTGCATAAATTTTTTTCATAAAGGCCCAGACCTCTTAGTACACTCAAACACAGAGACGCTACACACAGGAAGCCCTAGAGTTAACAGCTGTTTTAAGACTGCTAGTTAGTGCTGTAATGTCATACCATGTCTATATAATTACACTAAACACTGACCTACTTGTATGCCTCTGGCATTCTGTTACACTATAGGACCCCAACCGTACTGCACTGGCTCGGGAATTTTGCATTTTTCTTCACTTTCCAGGACGGTTCCAGCAACTGTGGTGGATGCATAAACAGGCCAGTACAGTTCAGCTTGGCCCTGCAGTGTTAATCAGGCTTGTTAATTAAGCCTACACATGTTATACCGCACACAGGCCTACTGTAGGGATGGGATATGGCATTCTGTGTGTGCTATTCTTGACTTCGAGATGACCCTGGCCTGTACATGCTCAATGACAACAGTAGAGCATGTGGCTACTACTACTACTACTGTGCGTTATCCGTAATATGAGACAGCTATAGCGCTACAGTTCCACTAGGCCTAACCCCGTTTACTCTGCACCTGAGCTGCGCAGTTAGCCGGTCAGTGAACCGGAGAGCTCGCGCTTAACGAGGCCAATCACTGCTACCCGTACCCCCGCCGGACACAGACCATACACACTCAGTGTCATGTGACTAGGCTAGACGAGAGCGAGAGGGAAAGAGAGAGAGAAAATGATTCTACAACTTTTCCTTTTCTGTCCTATTTTTCCGATCATCCGCAGTGCGCTGTGTTTAGTTTGGATAGAACCCAGTAGCCTGTTTACTATTTTATAACATTGGATCAAATCAGGGCAGATGTTGTCCCCAGCTTTCCAGGTAAACAGCTGGCTGACTAGCGGGCCTGCAGCCTCCGTAGGTTGGCTATAATCCTGCCAGGGAGGGGGGTTATATGGTTCTCTCTCCAACACTTACCTTGATGAGGTCCAAAGGATGGGTGCAGCAGGCAGCCCCGCAGGAAGCGAGCCCCCCGAAATACCACCGCGACATCCGTTTATCGGTCATATTCCCCCCCCTGTCTCTATATAGTCCCACTGCTCTTCGCTGTGTCCAATTCGATCCAGTCCAACAAAGCTGCGAGCCAGAGCCAAGCTTCCTATCCACCTCGACACGCAGGCAGGTCGGCGCAGCAGTCTGTGCTCTCTGGTCCGCTCTCTCCCTGACGGTCGAATGTAGGATAACCTCGTTAATCTTCAAAATTGCCAATGATTGCTGACGCCACCGAGCGACTTTGGGTTCCGGTGCGCGCATACACACTCAAACCACATCGTGTGTATGTGTGTGGGCAATTTTACAGAACGCGTGATAGGAAATGAATAGACAGAGAGAGAAGGGGAGTCGAAGTGAGTGCACGCGCAGCCAATTGCTACCCCGCGCTGAGGAGCTGCCTCCTCGTGCTCTAGCTAGCCAGACTCAAAGGTCGACAACTTATTTTCAGGTTGTTTTTGCAAACGTCAAAACTGAAAATGTCACCGGTTTCTCTAGGCTACGCTACAGAGAGGATGACTGTTGTCAAACCTCCCCCGTGGTTCTTAAAGACACAGTACACCCTCACGTACTCAGCTACCCAACCAGACACAGCGTATAAAGACTCTGTCGCTTTAAGGGAAACAAGTTCCAACGTTCTCCAACGAGGAAACTTTCTTTTTCAACCGAGTCAAGCGGCGGTACATTTTATCCGTGATAAAAATGTTTACCGGAATCCATTTGAAACTGGTTACAATTTCTCTATTCTGCTGTTATTGTTTCCCGCGCTCTCTTGCATTGTTTGTGACCGAGAGCTGTTCGTGTTATTGCGCCACAGCTGCAGACAAACATCCACATTGACTGTAGCTAACGTTTAACCCATTTTTTGAATGCAGTCGTCACTTGACGGCCTGTGGGCTAGCGCTAGCCTATACTTTATTTTTATTTATTTATTTTATTTTACCTTTATTTAACTAGGCAAGTCAGTTAAGAACAAATTCTTATTTACAATGACGGCCTACACCGGCCAAACCCGGACGTGTACTTGGAGCATATACAATCTAGGTTAGGCTATTTCATTTCTAAGAAGGCTACTAAAACAACACATAACCATGTACAAGTACAACTTCACATCTTATTTCAAACACGTCAATGTGTCAAAAAGCCACCGTTGTTCCATAATGCCTCTATGGTATGCTGACCTCGCGCCAGTAGGAGATTGCCAGCTCGCCTCGCATTCCCCAGGACATATATTCTTTGGAACATTGTTAAAGAGTCACACAGAAGGCTCCATGCCTTGTGTTTAAATATACACGTTCTATTAGTTGTTGTTGTGTGTGTGGCATAGAGGTGGTGGTGCAAGTTTACACAATATGTGTGTGTTCACGCTCCTGACTTGGTTAGAATCGCTTTGCACGCGCACTCAAAGAGATTCCAACCAAGTCAGGAGCGTGCACACACACAGCGCTGTAACATTCCTGTCTGGTGCAAAGAGAACTTTGGTCATGGTCCAAATTAACATGCTCGCCCTTACACACAGATACTTTTATTGAGGTCACACCATTGAATAGCCTAGCCCTATAGCTTTTGATAGGCTGGTCCAGGTTAATTTAACATTGCTTGATTGTGTCTGACCTTTTCAATCAAACATGTAATTTCCATGTCTTGTGCTCATAGGGAGGCAAGTTAACTTGATGGTGTCTCTTTGCTGCCATGAACCTAGAACAATTTGGAACAGCTCACTAAGGAATTTGACCCCTAAAATCCCCATGCTGTTTCTGTCACTATGGAGACGCTTGTCCAGTAGGGGTGCATCTCAATAGTCTGCCTTGGCTTCTTAACCTTTTCTGTCTCCTTTCCTTCATCTGTAGAGAACATGAGATAACTTGACAAATGCCCATTAGCCATCCTCTACATTGCTATCTGTGTGCTATCCTATCTTGTATTTTGAGATCAGCGCAAAGGCAAGCGGAGAGACAAGGAGAGGAAGCCACAAGACTATTGAAATACACTTTATTTCTCTGCGTGAAAGATCACCTGGTTCCTGTGAAAAATACACCTCTACTGCCACCATGTGGATATATAGGGAAACTGCAGTTTGGTTTAGGCCTCGAGGCCTTCTCTGTAAATATTGTCACAGAAAGTGTAAAAGCGCAATTCTCTTTGCCATTCTATGAGTTCATTGCAAATAGTAGTACTGCAAAATGGCCATTGTTCATTTCTCAGATATACTACATTGGTAGTGGATGGGGTTAGGGTTTTTAAAGTGCTTTGAGACCCATAGGAAAGCACCAGCCCTTGACACCTGGGTTACATTTACATTTTCGTAATTTAGCAGACGCTCTTATCCAGAGCGACTTACAAATAGGTGCATTCACCTTATGATAGCCAGTGGGACAACCACTTTACTTTTTTCCTTTTTCTTTGGGGTGGGGTAAGGGGGGGTAGAAGGATGACTTTATCCTATCCCAGGTATTCCTTAAAGAGGTGGGGATTCAAATGTCTCCGGAAGGTGGTGAGTGACTCCGCTGTCCTGGCGTCGTGAGGGAGCTTGTTCCACCATTGGGGTGCCAGAGCAGCGAACAGTTTTGACTGGGCTGAGCGGGAACTGTGCTTCCGCAGAGGTAGGGGGGCCAGCAGGCCAGAGGTGGATGAACGCAATGCCCTCGTTTGGGTGTAGGGACTGATCAGAGCCTGAAGGTACGGAGGTGCCGTTCCCCTCACAGCTCCGCAGGCAAGCACCATGGTCTTGTAGCAGATGCGAGCTTCAACTGGAAGACTGTGGAGTGTGCGGAGGAGCGGGGTGACGTAAGAGAACTTGGGAAGGTTGAACACCAGACGGGCTGTGGCGTTCTGGATGAGTTGTAGGGGTTTAATGGCACAGGCAGGGAGCCCAGCCAACAGCGAGTTGCAGTAATCCAGACGGGTTCAAACACTAAGTGCTTTGAGACCAATAGGAAAGCACCAGCCCTTAAGACCTGGGTTCAAACACTATTTGAAATCATTGACTGAGCTCGCCTGTTGCAATGGAACCAATAGAAAAGTCGTAAAAGTGCAAACCCCGCCCACCTGGCACTCCAGGCAAGCTAAAGCAATCGCTAAATAGTATTTGAAAGATTTCAGATAGTATTTGAACCCAGGTCTGGAAAGCCCTGTAATAATGGAGTTCATTGTTGTTGTATGGAACTATCATAGAAATCGACTCTCTAGAAAGGGCTTGGAACCTCTATCCCTGCAACTTTCATTGACTTGAATGAGGAGGCCCCGGTCTATAGATTCTATTTCTATGATGTCATACGTGTTCACGTGACTGGGTCAGTATGGTGGAGGTGACTGGCGTCCTGGCACATGTTATACAGATGGTCTTTGTCTGCGTCCTGTACGCTGCCTTTGTGCTACTTTATAACCACTCTGTATGCAACACACAAAACACAAACACACACACACACACACACACACACACACTGCCTACGTGTGGGCTCTCCAGAACATACACACGCACACACACAAACACACACACACACACACAAACACACACACAGAGAGAGAGAGAGTGGGCAGTGTGGAATCTGAGTGATGCCAGTTATGTCACATTAATAAACATTTAGTTATTAACACATCCCACAATGCATTTCACCTCCCACACTGACACAAGTGCATCACACATTGTCCTACTCTGGCAAAAACGTGTAAATATATGAGTGCAGTAGCTAAAACAAACAACTTGTAAATATACGAGTGCAGTAGCTAAATTAAACAACGTGTAAATATATGAGTACAGTAGATAAAACAAACAACTTGTGAAATACTTTATTATTTAATGTATAAATTACACTCACCAAGAAGAAGTTAACACAGAAAACTCAAATCACAGTAAAAACAACTAGAAGATGTTTTAATATACAAGAATAGAATAACAAAGCTGGCTACATGTGGCCTTCAGAAATGGAGAATAATCATGCACATTTTCTTAAACGTAATCATACGCATTTTCTTATTTACATTTTGACCTGTCTCTCCTTCACTGAGAGTTTAGTGACGGGGTTGTATTCATTAGGGCATAATGTAGCACATTTTTTACAATGGACAATGAAAATGAGCATTTCACATTGGACACGTTCAGGTAGTCCCTCCCTGTTTCAGTGCGTTTTCTCCCAATTGAACGAACACAACCCTGGTGTGGCAGGTTTCAGACGTACTCCTTCTCCTCTACCACCACAGGCAGTGGGTTACTCCTCCCACTTACCCCAAAAGTAGGCGTTGCCCTAACCCCTGGAGGGGAGGAGCCTGCATTCAGCAGAGCCCCTCCCACCAGCAGCAGAACTCCCGCCCCCCAGCCTAGATACAAGGCGGGGCCTAACTCCCTCTTCAGCGGCGCGGCGACTTTTGGATCGTAAAAATCCCTGACCACGGCGTAGGCCGTCCAACAGATAGGTACCAGGTAGAGCAGCCCAGAGAAGAAGAACAGTACCCCAGCCACACGGGCTAGCCTAGCCTTGGAGGAGTACGCTCCTTCTCCTAGACACTTGGTGCACTTAGCCCCAGCCACGCCTAGCAGGAGGGCGAGGAGGCAGAGGAGGAGGGACAGCACGGAGAGGGTGCGGGACACCTGGGCGGAGATGGGGAGGGCCAGGGTGGAGTCGTAAGTCTTACACTGGATCTGCCCCGTACTCTGGGACAAACAGGTCATCCATAGCCCCTCCCATAGAACCTGGGCGATCACGATCTCCCCGCCCGCGAAGGCGGAGACTCGCCACAAGGGGGAGGCGCAGACGAGAGCCCCGCACACCCAGCCAATCACAGCCAATAGGAGACCAAGTAGCTGCAGACCTGTGGACGCCATGGCGACGTGCAAAACTTCCACACAGTTCTGTTCAACTGGGCCTGGTGTGTTTTCCCTGGTTTTCACTAGATGATGAGTGTTGTCAAGATGGTTTCAAATCTCCTCTCTTCTCCAAAACAACGATAACAGGTGACACAAGTTCCCCTTGATAAAGTGTTCTTGTACGCCCCTGGGAATGTTGCAGGAATGTTTCTGTCTCTTTCCTCTTGGTTGAATATGCGGTAGTTCTGTATCTTATGGTAGAAACAGTGATGGTCAACAACTCCTCTTCCACATTCTCAGACGGGTTAACAGCAACAACAATATTCCTGCCAGGACATGGTGAAGAAATACACTGTAAGTACATTGTCCTCTCTGAACCTGTGTTTATGTTAATGTATACACACATAATAACAATTCCCAACATGTTAACATGATAACATGTCCCAACATACTGACATGATAACATGTCCCAACATATTAACATAATAACATGTCCCAACATGTTAACATAATAACATGTCCCAACATGTTAACATGATAACAATTCCCAACATGTTAACATGATAACATGTCCCAACATATTAACATAATAACATGTCCCAACATATTAACATGATCACATGTCCCAACATATTAACATGATAACTTTATAATTTTATTATATAACATAATAACCAGTAACTTGTGACTTTTACACATTTCAGAAAGAAACAGAATCAAAACAGTCATTCTGA